CCTAGTTTACTATTGCATTTTTGTGGATTGTTCAGTGTTGCTTTGTTTGATATAGGTTGTCTATTTTAAAGTTATTGTAACTTTTTTGTATCAGATCAGATGGTTATTATTAATGTTTGATGTTTTATGATGTTTTTATGTGTGTTGCAAGCCGCCCAGAGTGGCTGGGGCAACCCAGCCAGATGGGTGGGGTCTTCTTCTTCTTCTTCTTCTTCTTCTTCTTCTTCTTCTTCTTCTCTGATGTGTAAGTCCACACAGCCCTGACTTTGCTGGTTCCCTGCCCCATCCTGTCCATGTAATCAGCAGTGACACAATGTCAGGACGTCTGATCCAAGGGGCTGCCCCATTATGCCAACTGTTTCAGAACAGCCCTGCTGGATCACACTAGAGGACTGTCTAGTCCAGAATCCTCTTTACTACAGTGGCCAATCAGTTACCTGTGGAAAGCTCACCAAGCCTGCTCAACATTTCTTCTTGGGTGCCTATGCAATTTGGTTTCCAGGAGGCAGCCTCGTGCCAGGATAATATATGAACTGAACCTTATTGAAACAGTAATCAAAGCGGAAGTGCTCTGAGTCAGTGTTGCATGGAGGCTGTGTACATGCAGTGTAAGGTGATTTCGCGATGGCAGCTGCAAATGGATAAAAAACAAAGGCCTCCATGCTCAATGTTACATTTGATCCCTGGGGGAGCCATTTGCACTCAGCTTGTCAGGCGAAAACTCATTCAGAGTACTCAGTGGCTGGACTCACTTGGGATTTATGTCCATTTCTCAGTTGTTTCAAACACTTTTAGTTCTCCCTGAAGAGTGCTTTGCATTTCAGGGTGGAAGAAACGTGGATGTTTGAATGTGATGAGATGTTTAGAAATTGGTCCAAACTATGTTTCCATTTAAATGGAGTCTTTGGAAATTTGAGGGTTGGATTTGAAAATATCTTTATTATTTTTAAGGAATGCTCAGAATTAAATTAGGCAGCCATAGAAATCCTGAATGCACATCAAAAGACTAAAAGAGCATCAGGGAGTGCAGAGCTATCCACCTAAACCCTATGTGAAATCAATTAAGTTTAAACATGCAAAACGGTACTGGGTTATGGTCTACTGAGTGCAATCCATCAGCAGTAGTGCTGTGTAAGCCCCAGCCAATAGACTGGGTTCAAACCAGTGTACATTCTGTAGACATGAACTAAGACCATGGAAAAGAAATTGGTGAACTGCACTTTCATTTTCATAGACTGCACTGCAGAAGCAGAGCTTTATTTGTAATTCAAAAATTGGTTAATTATGGCATTGAGCTGGATCCAGACTAAATAAGCTGAACCGAGTGAAATCAGTGTGACTCAAGTGAAGTCAAGACTGGCTGTAGGAACTATTCAGAAGTAGGTCCTATTGAATTAAGTGGGGCTTAGTCCCAGGTAAGAGGGGATAGGCTTGCCGCCCAAGCAGTCCCATTGATTTCAATCCACTGTAACCAGTAATTAATAATCTGAAAAATTGTGTCAAAGTTAGCTGAAACCTGCATTTAACAAATTAGAAAGACGGTCAATAGGCCTTGAGCTTATTGCTGTTGCTTTTACCCAGAGCTAAACAGAATGGTGCTGAGGAAGTTTTGAATGTGGCAATATGATCTGCCTCTTCCTTACTTTCAGCAGGCTACAGTTGTGACCTCAGTGCTGCCCATTTCAACCAACTTCTGAAAGGACGAGTGTGGACCATGGGTTGGGTGAAGTTAATTGGCCATTGTCAATGGGACAAATTTCTATGACATACGTGGCCATTAATTTCAATAGGATGTATGTACAACTAGCAACACAATCCTATGCATATTGGGAAATAAATGTTCTTCAAAGTGATGCTGCACACCACTGTTGGCTATAACTCTCTACAACTACAAGTTCAATAAACCCTAGATAATCGTAATAAAACAAGAAATGAGATTCTTTTAATGTGCTCTCAGTGTCTCATAAAGTTCTGTGCTAATGAAAAAGCATGACATACTTTGCATATTAATAAAAGTTGTAGGCTAGTGAATTGCTTATTTAATGAGTTCATTTTTTAAAAGAAAAGGTTGAGACTATTTTATAAGTGATAAAAATAAATAAATGAACAGAGCAGTAAACTGTCTGGTTTTACAAGAACCAAATTATATAGGGTTTTGCATATAACCATATTTATAACCATATAACCATATTTAGCCTCACTGGCCTTGCAGACAACTTCATTGTCCAGAAGTGGGAGAAGCAACAAGAGGAACAGCCATTTTAGATCTGGTCCTAACCAATGTGGATGACCTGGTTAGTGGGGTAGAAGTGGAAGGATCATTAGGCGCAAGTGATCATGCTCTTCTGAAGTTTACTATACAGCGGAAAGGAGCAGCCAAGCATACTAGGACTCAATAACTAGGACTTCATAAAACTTAGGGAAGTGTTGGGTGAGATCCCATGGACAGTAATACTAAAAGGAAAGGGAGTTCATGATGGCTGGGGAGTTTGTTAAGAGGGAGATAGTAAAAGCACAACGTCAGGCAATATCAATGAGACGGAAACATGGAAGGTGCCTAAAAAAGCCAGGGTGGCTATCTAAAGAACTTTTAACTGAGTTAGGATTAAAAAAGGATGTATACAAAAAATGGGAAAGGGGGGAAATCACCAAAGAGGAATTCAAACAAATAGCCAGCACATATAGACACAAAGTCAGAAAAGCTAAAGCACAGAATGAACTCAGGCTTGCTAGAGAGGTTAAAAGCAACAAAAAAGGCTTTTATGGGTATGTTCGTAGCAAAAGGAAGAACAAAGAAACAGTGGGGTCACTCAGAGGAGAAGATGGTGAAATGCAAACAGGGGACACAGAAAGGGCTGAACTCCTCAATGCCTTCTTTGCCTCAGTCTTCTCCGATAAAGAAAACAATGCCCGACCTGAAGAATTTGGAGCAAATGATTCAGCAGAGGAAACACAGCCCAGAATAACTAAGGAGATAGTACAAGAATACTTGGCTAGTCTAGATGTATTCAAGTCTCCAGGGCCAGATGAACTGCATCCAAGAGTATTAAAAGAACTGGCAGATGTGATCTCAGAACCACTGGCAGTCATCTTTGAGAATTCCTGGAGAACAGGCGAAGTCCTGGCAGACTGGAGGAGGGCAAATGTTGTCCCTATTTTCAAAAAGGGGAAAAGAGAGGACCCAAATAATTACCGCCCAGTCAGTCTGACATCAATACCAGGGAAGATTCTGGAGCAGATCATTAAGCAAACAGTCTGTGAGCACCTAGAAAGGAATGCTGTGATCACCAATAGTCAGCATGGATTTCTGAAAAATAAGTCATGTCAGACTAACCTGATCTCGTTTTTTGACAGAATTACAAGCCTGGTAGATGAAGGGAACGCAGTGGATATAGCCTACCTCGATTTCAGCAAGGCATTTGACAAGGTGCCCCATGATATTCTTGTAAAGAAGCTGGTAAAATGCGGTCTTGACTATGCTACCACTCAGTGGATTTGTAACTGGCTGACTGACCGAACCCAAAGGGTGCTCATCAATGGTTCCTCTTCATCCTGGAGAAGAGTGACTAGTGGGGTGCCACAGGGTTCTGTCTTGGGCCCGGTCTTATTCAACATCTTTATCAACGACTTGGATGATGGACTCAAGGGCATCCTGATCAAATTTGCAGATGACACCAAACTGGGAAGGGTGGCTAACACCCCAGAGGACAGGATCACACTTCAAAACGACCTTGACAGATTAGAGAACTGGGCCAAAACAAACAAGATGAATTTTAACAGGAGAAATGTAAAGTATTGCACTTGGGCAAAAAACCGAGAGGCACAAATACAAGATGGGTGACACCTGGCTTGAGAGCAGTACATGTGAAAAGGATCTAGGAGTCTTGGTTGACCACAAACTTGACATGAGCCAACAGTGTGGCGGCAGCTAAAAAGCCAATGCGATTCTGGGCTGCATCAATAGGAGTATAGCATCTAGATCAAGGGAAGTAATAGTGCCACTGTATTCTGCTCTGGTCAGACCTCACCTGGAGTACTGTGTCCAGTTCTGGGCACCACAGTTCAAGAAGGACACTGACAAACTGGAACGTGTCCAGAGGAGGGCAACCAAAATGGTCAAAGGCCTGGAAACGATGCCTTATGAGGAACGGCTAAGGGAGCTGGGCATGTTTAGCCTGGAGAAGAGGAGGTTAAGGGGTGATATGATAGCCATGTTCAAATATAGAAAAGGATGTCACATAGAGGAGGGAGAAAGGTTGTTTTCTGCTGCTCCAGAGAAGCGGACACGGAGCAATGGATCCAAACTACAAGAAAGAAGATTCCACCTAAACATTAGGAAGAACTTCCTGACAGTAAGAGCTGTTCGACAGTGGAATTTGCTGCCAAGGAGTGTGGTGGAGTCTCCTTCTTTGGAGGTCTTTAAGCAGAGGCTTGACAACCATATGTCAGGAGTGCTCTGATGGTGTTTCCTGCTTGGCATGGGGTTGGACTCAATGGCCCTTGTGGTCTCTTCCAACTCTATGATTCTATGATTCTAATACTGATCTTTTATTTTTGTAGCAGCGTTACACAGAAGAGGACTGCCATAATGGCCCAGACATATGAACCACTTTGCTCTGATGGCATTCTTTGTCCTTGGAAGCCACTGTAGCCTGAACAAAGCTCTGCAGGCCCTATCTGAAATGAAAATAAGGGAGGAGGAAAAATACATTTCTCTTGGGGCGAATGGGCAGGCTCCATGCACAAATAGTTCCAGTTTAGCTCAGATGCAACAGCACTAGTCAGTGGTGTCATCAGAGTAGGACCTTGGAGCAGAAGACGCAGGGCAGAATCAGCAAAAGGTCCCTAAATGTAACAGATCTGGCTTAGCATATTTTTTAAGTCAGTAAACTAATACACATCACACAGGAACATGGAAATCTGTCTTATATTGAATCAAACCGCTGGTCCATGTAGTTCAGTATTGTCTACACTGGCTGGCAATAGCTCTCCAGGGTTTCAGACACAACCTAGGGATTGAGCCTGGGACCTTCTGCACACCATGCAAATTGCTCTGCCACTGAGCTACAGCGCTTCCCATCTAAAGAAGATATGCCTGGAAGCCCATTAAGTCTAGTATCTTAAGCTTTCCTATCTGCACCAAAGGCTCTCAGATTTAGTACCTAACCAAATGCCAAACCCACTAATTGGAAATAATTCCTTTTGGATCTATTGGTCTGACTTCCAAGTATACAAGCCATCACAAGTATACCATCAACACAACTCAGCCTGGATCAAGCAGACCTGTGCTACAACAGAATGGGCTAAGCACCGGGGAACCTAGGAAGCTGCTTTATACAAAGTCAGACCATTGAGCTCCTTCAGTCAGAACAATGGTCCATCTACTTCAGTATTGTCCACAGGGCTTGCAATGGCTTCCCAAGTTTTTAGATGGGGGTCATCCCCAGCCCTACATGAAGAGGCCAGTAATGGAACCTAGGAGCTTTCCTATGCAAAACAGGTAATCTGCCTCTGAGCTATGGCCAAGTATTAGCCAGAGCACTTCCGTTCATCTCAGCTGATATCCTGAAAGCACAGTTCCCTGCTTTTTTGAGCTGGCTGTGTTATTGGCCAAAGTAGGCTTAGATGGGAGGAAGAAGGCATGTATGGCCTCATCTACACATCACATCATTACAGCAAGAAAAAACACACACACACCCCTAATTCTGTAATTTAGGGTTGTCATATTTCAAAAAGTGAAAATCTGGACATGAAAATTGAAGTTTTAAACTTTTTTAAAAAGGGAAATCACCCCAAAAAACAACACTTGTGATATGGGCTGTCATACGCTAGGTTTCCCCAGACATTATAGCCATTTCCTGAAAATTCCACCCGGATGCCATTTTTGACAGACGAAGCCTAGCTATGTCTGGGAAATTCCAGATGTATGGCAGCTCTACTGTAATCATACACACACTTACTTGGGAAGTAAGCCCCACTGAGCTTAACTCAGTGTGGTTTAGGCCTGAGTAAATACTAAAGAATTTCACTGTAATAGCCTGATCCTAAGCATATTTACTCAAACATAAATCCCACTGAGTTCAATGGAGCTTATTCCCTAGTAAATATGCATAGGATACTTAAATTTCATTTGGAACCATTCATTTAGCTCTTCCTGAAAAAAAAACATTGAATACAACTTAAACAAGTCCTAGTGAAATTTAAAAGGAAGCAAAGGAGACAAAAGAGGTATATGGAACATCAAGTGGAATTTACACAGAAATACACAATGCGATGAGTCACATAAAGTCTGATCAGTATACAAAGCTTCGTAAAATGTCATTTCTCACAATTTAAAGATGAACATTGACAAAATATGTGTATTTTGTCAGCAATATCAGAAGGAGCCTCAAGGATGCAGACGTTAAAAAAAGGTAAAGGGCCCATGGATGATTAAGTCCAGTCAGAGGTGACTATGGGGTGTGGTGCTCATCTTGCTTCAGGCCGAGGGAGCCAGCGTTTGTCCACAGACAGCTTTCTGGGTCATGTGGCCAGCATGACTAAACCACTTCTGATGCAACAGGACACTGTGACAGAAGCCAGAGTGCACAGAAATGCTGTTTACCTTCCCACCGCAGTGATACCTATTTATCTACTTATCTAATCTTATGTATATATCTTATACATATGTAGACATAAGATATATGGATAACCTAACTCTCAGCTATAGATGCAAATGCAGAATCTGAACTTTTGGCAATGGTTTTTGTAAGAATGGCAGAATTGGTGATTTACTTTTGATTTTATTTTTTTGCAAAGAATGTCTAATGTGCTGGTGAGTTTTTAATGAGTGTTGACCAAACATACCGGTACTCAGAAAGTTGAAAAGAAAAGAAAAATATTTTGGATATTTAGAAATTCAAATAAATGGGAGGGTTGTCCTCTTTGAGATATGCACACACTGTTCATTTGGGTAATCTGGGGTACTGGACAACTGAGACTCAGTAAATGGTGCTATTTTATATAATCAATGGGAGTCTGTCTTGTGCTCCAGTTCCTTTTGGAATATGCTCCTGTCCTTTTATGTTAAAACACAATCTAAACTGCAACAGTTAATCACTCACCAATCTACATATCCTGTTATTGTAATGGACCATATATGTTGCAAGGTTTCTTGCAAGAGAAAACAACCCTTGTGGATTATAAATAACAAGCTAATCAGCTATTAAAAAGTTGGTGGGCTCCACCCCACAATATAAAATTCAATCTGTTTTTGGAATATGGGTGGTTTAAGAACTCATGGGAAGTTTGCTGTGCTCAATTAATGCTGTTACTGCTAAAAGACTGCTGAGTCTTTTCAGGTGTCATCTAAAGATCATTCTGGAGACTCATCTATTTGCCCCCCACCCAATGCTGAAATATTATGTATTAGTATACCCAACAAGACAGAGCTTGAGAATTCCCCTGGATGGTAGCAAATATTTCTGAGGTTGCTTATACAGTATAGTTAATCTACTGAAATAAAATACTGAAATGTATATCGGTGATTAGATACACAGAAGGGATAAAATGCTTGGAAAAAATGCAAGCCTAGGTTGTTATTAAAAATTATTATCGGATTGCAGCCCTAAACATTGCAGTGGCTCTGTTTCTCAAGTGCTCTTCTAACATTTTGTCTTGAGCAGTTTCTACTGTCATATGTGTTGTCCTTGGTTTCTTATGAGATGCCTGACAGTTCATTTCATATAAGTAGTGGAAACTAAACTTTGAAGCGACAGCTCCCTATTCCAAACCTTGCCTCCCTCCACCCCGGTCCTTCACATACACAGAGAGAACTCCCTACAAACCTATATTTAAAGCAAAGGATGACATTGCTGACAACACAGTACTTCAGGAAGGTAAAGGCCAACAGCAGCAAATCAGAATGGAAGGCAGAAAGAAACTGTTCAATTCTCCCAAGGGAACCATTGATGGAGGTGAATCCCATTGTACCAAGTCCCATCTTACCAGGATTGCTCAGAGGGGGGAAAGTAACAATCCAAAGAAAAAAGGGAAAAAAAGATTTGCACCTGCTATCTTTGTACTCCAAACTCCACCTGCGTTGCTGTATGCTGACTGCAGCTCGTGAGCTTTTATGAACTGGAAGGTCCAGCCACTTAATGGGCCAAACTGACATTTATCACCGACAAGGGAAACAGGGGTGATAAAATGGGAAATTCCCTTTTAACTGCAGATTAAACCCCAGAGGGCTCTATTGTTATAGAAGAGAATTAAAGAGGTGTCCACAGCACACAGGAGCTCAGTGCAATTTGCTAGACTCTCTCTCCTCACCTCACCCCCCCCCCCCAAATAATAATGCTGATGCTCAATATGTGAAAGTGCAGGTGGGACCTTGTAACTAACAGCTCTACTCAGAATTTGTATCTGAAGTAACCAAATCAAAATGGGTGCAGCTCCCTACATTATGCAATAGAATATAATGCCGTGGATCTGGCAAGGCCTTTTCTTTTCCATTAAAAATATTTTTCCCCCATAAAAGAAATAACACCACCAACCTATATTTATTACCCAGGCTGCAGACATCTGATACATCACACAAATCATGGCATAGCTTAGCATAGTATAGCATGCAAAAAAAACCCCGAGAACCTGGCAATGGATTAATTCCAGAATGCACAAGCAGACAGTTATATAACTGTGTGTGCAAAGACACCAATACCATTCGGGTGGAGAAAGAGGCAAAAATATGCAGAGAGACTGACCTTACAGGCAAGTTCCATCATGATGGGCACATTGCTGGTCTGCTTTACCTGAAGGAAGCACCATTCCGTGTATTGCAGTGCACTTCAGCCTAAAACCTGTAGGTTGTTCCTAGCAGGCAGGTTTAAAGCAGCATGGGGGTTTTTTTTGCGCGGGGAGGGGAGTGGGAGGGGTTGCCATTCACCTTGCATTTTGCAAGAGGTTTAGCATTTTCTAACTGCAAAAATCAAGCAATCCAAAAGTCCGTTCTCTCCCTGCAGGTTATATATGCTGTTCTCCAAACGGCTTAGAACCAGATGTGATGCAAGCATGATTCGTCAAGTCTAGTCCAGCATTATTATTTTTTTGGGAGGGGGGTGAAAGCAAGGGAGGGAGGGAGGGAAGAGGAGAAGGAGGAGGAGGGGTGGAATCGACCATACAGGTTTTGTTTTTTAAAAAAGCTGCTCACCAGGTACACACCCTGAAAGTGGAGACTCAGGCCAGCCTAACTGAGGCAAAGAGCTAGAGAGGGGTTTCACCAGCAGGTTGCAGTTGCCGGGCGATGCTCTGGATGCTCGCCTTCCTCCTGGGGAAAATGAGCTCACTGCGAGCATCCAACAGCCGCCCCTCAGCCATTGCAGTGACACTGCAGCTAGCAGCCGACTCCAGGCACGTCATCGGAGGAGCTCACTTGGAGAAACGGAGGCCCTCCCATTCAGGAAGGGAAAGGCAAAGGCGCTCGATCCAGCAGCAAGGCCAGCCCTCAGCTGCAGCCACCTAATTCGCGGCTGGCTTTTCTCAAAGCGGAAAACAAATTCCTCTCCAGCATCCTAAGCAGGGTGGGGATTGTTGCTTCCACTCTCTGCGTTGCCAAGGTTACAGAGGCTTGCCTCTCTCTCCACCTCCCCTTCCTCTCCGCTGCCAAGTAAGGGATGTAGCAGGACCCAGCCGAGACTGACATTTAAAATCCCCGTGGCTCCTCTCTCTGCCATTTGCAAGCAGCCAGAGAGACGGTCCGAGTTCCTCCTGCAGGGGTCCTCCGCAGACGTGGCCCGTCCGGGGCCAGGTATTAATCGATCACCTCCCCATCTTCATTTTGAAATTCTTGTTTCTCTGCTCTGAAAGGATGCAGAAGGGAAAATTGCGCTGGGGTCTTTGCAAATGTCTTTAAAGTATCTGGGCATGGCAGATAGCAGAACTCATCATTAACCCCTTGTGGGAAACCCAGAGCTGGAGAGACGGTCCCAGCTCCTTTGAGTTGTATTTATGTACTGCTTGTTTGTTAACTTTCCTTTTGGTCTGTGCTTACATGTTAGGACTAAATTATTTATTTGCAACACTGAATGGTTGGGCTTT